GCCGTTTCCCAAGCACAAGACCGGTATGGATGGGATTCTCCCCGTGGTCGATCGACTCACCAAGTTCGCCATGTTTTTGCCTTGCCGCTATCACGCCAAGGCACCAGAGTTGGTCGAGGTTCTTTATGCCAGTTGGATTCGCAGCAAGGGTTATCCCAAGGAAATCGTTTGCGACCACGACACTCAGTTCATGTCTGACTTTTGGTTGGTTCTCATCAAACGACCGGGCTCATCTCTCAAGCCGAGTTCGGCTCGCCACCCACAAACCGATGACCAGACGGAGAGGGCGCATCAAACCGCACAGGTTCTTCTTCGCACTCTCATTGGTCTTGACCAAAAGGATTGGGTTGAGCGGCTGCCGGACGTCGAGTTGGCTTACAACTCATCCATTCATCCAGCTAATGGGATGTCGCCCTTTGAGTTCAAGCATGGCTCGCCGGTCACATCGTCGTTGGACACCATCATCCCACGGACGACCGAGAGCGACGACCACCTTGTCTTCATTCGATGAATGTAAGAGCTACAATGCGCCAAGGCCTCATCCATTTCGGAAGGAGCTCGCAAGAGATATCTTGTTCGAGGCTGAATTCCACGACGGAGACCCAAACAAGGCTGCCTGCGCGGAACGGACAAGGGAGACACTAGCGATTGGCATGACGGCTCAAGCGTTGCTGCGTCTTCGACATCTGGTCGCCCACTTGCCCGTCCCCCCGGTCTTTCTTTGTTCAAAGTTGGCTCTTTTTGTTTCCGCGAAACGCGACGACTTTCCCAGGCGACGATCTTAAGACCCACCCTCCATGGACGGTTTTCGGGAGGTTAGCGACATCATTTCGCAGCGGCGCTACGGCACCAAGCCGACTGAGTACTTAGTACACCTTTCCTATTGAAGCCATAAGGCTGATCGTTGGTTGACCCGTGTGGAACTTCAGGCTACAGCCCCCAATGTCCTCGCACGTTACGAACACAAACAACAAGGCAAGTCGGCACCTTCGGCTCCACGCCGTGCTCACGTCCAGGTTCCACCATCGGATCGTCAACTTCGCCGTCGACCCGGCTTGACTTCAAAAGGAGCGGGGGGGGTTACATGTTGAGACTGCACACGGGCCCATTTTGGGGGCCCGACGGTTGCTGGGAGCCCCCAGGCCGCACGCCCTTCGGACATGCGCCCTGGAGGCCCATGGCTGGCCTTAGGGCCGCAGGATTCGATTTGAGACAGCATTCATTTATTTATTTATTTGCTGTCCTATTTTTGTCTGTTCCGGCGTCGTTTCGGACTTGCAGTTCGTCCGAACAGACTTCTGGTCTGTTCGGACCAAGGCCACGTTTTGGGCCTTCTTCATTCGCAGTCAGGCCCATTCAGGCCAGGTTCGTGATCGTCCAGTAGCAGACAGATGCAGCAGGGAGGGCCTGGACATCTGGTAGGGACCCAGGCAGGCCGTTTCAGGCCAAGGACCAGAGGCACACCAGCGAGGCCCAGCACTACTTATAGCTGGGCCAGGCCAGGGCAGACACACAGTTCGAGTAGCTCACTCCTTGGGCGACATGCTGCTGGAGCAGTGCAACACAGCGCTGCGCTAAGGTGTAGAGGCGTAGTTAGGAGGTAAGGGGAGGCCATACCTGCTGGGGCGGTACTTACCCGGGCGCCATAGCTGGACTCCACGCCAGCGACCTGCACAGAGAGAGACGCCGGCGGCAGTCAGTACATGGCGGCAGTTACCTGCAGCTGAGACAGCGAGGTGGACGACACCTCCTTCTTCTTCTTAGTCTCCCCCGCCATCTCTCCTTCCTCCTCCCTCCTCCTCCTCCTTCTTCTTCTTCCACACACACAGAGAGAGAGAGAGAGAGAGAGAGAGAGAGAGAGAGAGAGAGAGAGAGAGAGAGAGAGAGAGGTTGCATGCAGAGGTTACATCAGGCCATGAGGCCCAGGATCTGATTCAACATTTTGTGGCAGACATTGATTGGACATTTGGCAGGAGACTATTTTTGGACTTCGCTATTGCGATCTTGGTCTTCTCCCTCACCTCCATCTTCGTCTTGCCTCTCCTCCATCTCCTCATCCGTGGTATCTTCCCATGTGCGTGCTCAAGGAGGGACCTTTCTTCCATGTATGGGGTCCCTCCCCTCTCTCTCACATGTGTGGTGTATGATGGGGTGTCGCGTCAGTATCTGACCGGTCAGGTCATATCTTTGAGTCTTCCGTTGCGCTATATTATGCTATTTTCATATGTATCTGGATGTACATTGTTTGTTGATGCTTTGCCGACGCTGCATTGTCCATTCGAGTCATTTCATCACTTTGCGGATACTTGGCTCCATATACATCGTTCGATTGAGCATGTCTCTCTCCTCTCTCTCTCTCTCTCTCTCTCTCTCTCTCTCTCTCTCTCTCTCTCTCTCGCTCGCTCGCTCGCTCGCTCTCTCTCTCTTACACACACACACACAGAGCTTTGATATACTGCAGTGCAGCATTATGCCCATGGCGAAGAAACACCTCAGGCATAATCAGACTACGGCCAAAGATACATTGAACGAAGTCCAAGTGTGAGCATATCCTCAGCAACTGTGCCACGTGCTCGAGGATATAAAGTAGAAGTTAAAAGAAAGGGAAAAATAACAAGAGGTTTCCTTCTGAAATCAACAGTGCAACCAAGCCTATGTTGCCGAACCGAAAATTCTCCTATCGAGTCTGTATTGAACTGGCTGCAGGCAGGCTGGTACATTGAAAGTGCGGCCTCATTTGCAAGGCCGCAGTTTAAGGAGGGGGGCAGGATTAGCTCTTGTGGCTTAAACAACACCACCACTAGTAGAGCCAGTCCCAAGCCGCTTGGAGAAGGTAGTTATGGCAGTTTGGTGTCAGTCAAACTCATATGGCTTGCTGGAGGTACTAGCGCACTCTCAACCACCAACATATTTTCATGCCTTGTGTGGTTACCACAGCGTCTCCGTGTTTTCAGGAGGTACATCAGACGGACGACCCAGCCACAACAGCTTTTGCCAACCTCCACCGGGGTCATGCCTGATTTTTCTCAGGAGATAGTTGTAACATACTCCAATGAGTATGGGCAGAACCAAGAATCAACCAATATAGGATGAGTTTTTATGCAGTGGAAGGCTTATAACGAACTGACTCACATAGACTGACTCACATAGACTGACCTACATGGCATCACTCCACACACATACAATCATGAGATGGTGGGGTCTGGGTCATGCATAGAAGATACCCAGATCCCGT